ACACCACGATTTGACACTACTTTGAGAAATAACAGTTAATGTAAGTCTTGGAACGCGCAGGAAAATGAATCACGGCGTTAAATATGTCACTATCAACAGAATGTGCCGCAGCATTACTATCTTTTAGATACCCTAGTTTATAAGAGAAGTAAAGCTCGGATTTGAATTTCACTGAAAACAAGATAAGATGAAATATGAAATGCTCTTGTCTGTCTTTTCATGCCTCGATTACTACGCGTGCAGGCTTTCTTGAACGGATAAACAGCAAGAAATAGACTATACGATCTGTAGTTTACTATTGCTCACGAAATGTTGATATTTAAGCTTAAGTTAAGCTTAAGTTAGGAGTCCATAACCCTCGATCAAGAAGATGTGAACCAAATTCTCTGAGCAAACTGGCAATCTAGTTTGCAGACATAAAGAATATGCATATATCACATTCAAATTGACACAATCTGCACAATACTGGTAATTTTCTTTCTTTTGGGTGGGTTTTGTTAGGAATCCAAAGGAATTAAAAAGTGTGTCACACTCGGCAGTTTGAACACAGTTTGGGAGATATACAAGCTTTGGTATGGGTTCTCAGTACTTCACGTTGGCGTCAGTATTCAATCACGAATACGTTTCATACTTTACATGAGTCCCGTGTTCCAGTCGAACAGGAGACATGAATTGAAGTGTGTTGTTTAGAATACCTTAAAACCTCACGTATGCCTCAGTATTCAAACATGAACACATTTCATACTTCGCATGAGTCTCGTGTCCCAGTCGAACACCACAGAACACTTGAAGTGTGTCGTTTAGAATACCGTAAAACCTCACGTATGCCTCAGTATTCAAACATGACCACGTTTCACACTTCGCATGAGTCCCGTGTCCCAGTCGAACACCACAGAACACTTGAAGTGTGTCGTTTAGAATACCTTAAAACCTCAAGTTTGCCTCAGTATTCAAACATGAACACGTTTCATACTTCGCACGAGTCTCGAGTTCCAGTTGAACACCACAGAACACTTGAAGTGTGTCGTTTAGAATAACTTAAAACCTCACGTATGCCTCAGTATTCAAACATGAACACGTTTCATACTTCGCATGAGTCTCGTGTTCCAGTCGCACGCTTCGAAAAACTAGCGTGTTCAGTCTGACTAAACTACGCGGTAGCGTATATTTAATTTACCTGCATAAAACCCGTTGTTGACGACGCAAGACGTCTTTGGCTGTGAAAAATGTGACATAACTTTCGTATTCATAGCGTGCGATTCTCGAAAATTAGAGCATACTTGACGTATTCATTAGTATTCGAAGGCGTTCACGTCAGAAGTGGCGTCGTGCATCGCGTGTTCCAGTTGAAAACTCTCGAACAACTGAGAGTATTCGAAAATGTTCGAGTCATAAATGATCGCTATATCTTCGAAGAACATCAAATGCAACATTAATCTACCAAAACGTGGCCCGTATGATTTATCGTCACTTCGAGTCGTTCACGAGTATTAAATTTGAATACGGAAAAACAGGCCGGATTCCTATAGGTGTATTTCGAGTCAGCCGTAATCGAATACGTCGGAACATTGCGGCATACGCGGCGTGTGCCGATCCGTATTCGAGCGAATTCGGGCCCGAATATTTGGCTTTTCGCGCGGTGACTAGAGAAATAAACTGATTAGTCTCTAATAAAACTAGAACTTACGCGTGAATACAGCTTACCTTTCAAATTATCTTGTTATCGAAGAAACGTGAATAATTCACATACCATTAAGGCACCGTATTAATTAAGCCCTTGGGGGCAAGCATTATCTTTTTACAATCGGTAAGCTAGGCCTTTCAAGGTGAGGGCTAATAATAGAGAGCTGGCCCTTTAGAGAACTAGAGAGAGAGAGGACTTATCTTCAGTCGCAAAATCAGCTCCTGGTTTATTTCTGCATTATATCTAATTCAAAGAGTAACAATGGAGCGGGAAGATAAGTTAGCTATAAAACAATGTAGTTATCCCAAGATAATCGAATTTTATAACAGTAATCAATTGCAAGGTTTTCTTTTTTCAAAAAAATTCTCCTGGCTTATCATTGTGAGGAGAGATACATGAGGAGCTAAACAGAGAGGGAAGTTTACTTAAAAGTTGAAACTTCTATAAGTTCTAGTTGATCTCAAATTATAATGCGATTGGCATACAAAGGAAAGCAAGTAGCGGGAGACTTGATGAGAGGCAAAAGGAACGCATCTACGCCAGAACTCAATGCGCCTGCGTGACTATCAATGAGTGGCGCCTGGGGACAAGGCAGGGCATGCTATCAGTAATGGTGGTAATAGTAATCTTCGTAGCAGCATGCGCAGTTGAGAGCTTACAGGTGCAGTGCGTTTTTTGCTATTCCGCTAAATAGCATTTACGGTAAGTGGGTCGGTTTTCTAGCGTGTGTTTAAAAGTATTAATAAAATGATCGAAGTTGGAAGTCATCACTTTGCGGTGTTGGAAGGCAACGACTCTATACAAAGGGAGATAGAAATGATTAATGCACTTATTGAATCCGCCATTCCCAATGCAAGTGCAAAGCCTCGCTCAATACCGTCAAAGTAACACAAGACTGAAATTAAAGGTGCGCTCCAAGCGAGACGATAAAACACTGCAGCTATTGGACCGGACTCATTGCCATCGCCACCTCCCAAGACATGAAACCAGCCAATAATGGTCATCTGCATGAAAAACAGAGACACTAAGCCCTTTGATGAGCCGCCGAACGCATCCAGTCCCATGGCATCGGGCGCTATCTCGGGTTTTGCCATGAAGGTAAGCGAGACCACCATTTGCAAATACCCAATTATTTGCACACAGTTCGGGGACCACTTCCTCGCGGGACCTAGGATTGGAAGCATTATCTTTGCTATCTCCCCCATACACTTCTTCGGCGACGCCTCTGGAGTGTTTCGCGACCATATCACGTAGGTTATTATGGCTAACGTGGAATCAAGGAGCCCGAACGCTGCTGCAAAGGGAAGAGAAACCAGCGACTGTCGAAACAGCCACAGCAAAGCTGACGTGACGAAAAACAACCTTTCAGGAACAGTTCCGAGAAGTGCACCGTTGCCAGCCACCGCTGGACGGGACCTCGCTGTGACGATGTAAAGGAAACCGATTACAGCGAGTAACCCGCAGTTGAGCCGCCAGTACCCAGTGTCGTAGCGACCGCTGAGGTCCATCATGAAAACACGTGACAACAGCTGGGGGAAGGCGACGCCGAGTATGCCGCTTATTAAGTAAGCCATGATCGCTGACCATACAGTGAAGACGCGCAGTGTGGTGAGAGTTTGTCTGGGAGGAATGGAGAGCATGCTATTGAACCAGTTAACTTTCGCATAGCTGTCAGATCCACCTGCGGTCTAATACAAAAGAAATAAGAGTTGTTAATTATGAACGAGTGGTGTGAGTCGCTTGGCCGCGGGGTGGGTTCGAGCCCTGATTGGAGTCACCTTGTTGTGTTTTTGGGCAAAACGCTTCACTTTCACAGCCAGTGCATCTCTCCAACCAGAGCACAATTATTCGAAGGGTTTATAAACTCTATCCACCGAATAAATCCCTATCCATGGGATAACGTTCGGTAAACCAACTACACTATCTATTAGACAGTGTTTTATCCATTGGATAGGGTACGTTATCCGCTCTTCGAACAACAGCTCCCTGGTGTACAACCCGGCTGTACTAGAAGTATATATGCAATATATACCAGCGAAGAGTTGGGGCGACCTGACACAACACTAGACAAGATTGGGGAGGGGAGGGGGGAGGCCTGTGAGAGACACTTGGTCGTGAGAGGTCTGGGTTCCAAATTAGAGCTCCCTTCACTGATCAGAACTGAGAGAATACCAAATGAAAGAAACGAAAAAAAGAAAGAAATGTCACGATATTTTAAGTCATTTCCTCATTACTTTTACTAGAAAATTAAAGGAACTTCAAAATGATCAGCTGGAAGTTCGAGCTCGAACTCAAAACCATTTCCCTTAGATATTTTCCCTTGGTTTTTCAGACATTTATTCAATACTGTCGGTTATTTTCGAACTTAAACTCGGTTTTAAAAGAGGTAAAAAACCTTCTCTCGTAAAATTGTATAAAATTGTGAGCTTTCAACAGCCAGTCTGCTGTCTTCGACGGACAAAAATGAAATGACAAAATAGACCTAAGAATTTGAATATAACAAGCGAATGGCATATATTAAATAGAATACGTGTGAAAGAATGTGAGAATGCCAAAAGTATAGAGTTAGTGTTTGTTTAAAAGAATATTATATTGTCCCGGCAGAGGACACGAATTGTTGTCGGCCTCGACAGTTTTCGCTGTGTGCCAGGATTCCAGCGTCTTTCTTAAATGCGGCTGTTGCCTTTGTCAATTATCTCAGCATTGTTAAAGTCGATGGTATGATCAAAGGTCCAGGCATGTTTCGCTACATTGGAGCCTTTAGCACA